TGTGTGGCTCTTGGAGCAAAACAGAAAGAAAGAAAAAAATTCATCTTTAAATCCCGAATTTATGTCTGTTTGGCAGGGAAGATGATAATATGATAGAAAATAACCTTAGTTTTTACTGGACCTCTGCAGGGAGAGGGGGAAACTTTCTACTAGTCAGAATCAGTCTGAGGAATCCAGGAACTGGTTCTCTGTTCTATTTAATACTAAAAAAAGGGGCTTCTCATTTTACTATTTGTTCTCCTAAATTCTAGAGAATGATGTTTCCTGTGCCCACCCCATACCAGAACATGCAACTTCAGAGAGATGCTGCACCCCTCTCAATCTCTCTCTCTCTCTCTCTCTCTCTCTCTCTCTCTCTCTCTCTCTCTCTCTCTCTCTCTCTCTCTCTCTCTCTCTCACACACACACACACACAAACACACACACACACACTTTTGGCAATATAAAACAAGTAACAGGTTTAGAGCACGACCCTTTATTCTCAGAGAACCACCACAGTATTACAACAATTCAGGAATTTACTTTTTAATTTAGTCACTCTGCAGGATCGACGTGCCATAAGGATTAAATGTAAAGATATAAACAGTCATTAAAACACAAACACTTATGTTAGTTAGCCGGATATTAAGGGGGAAATATCACATGTGTTTAGAGTTCTATTTGCAGGTTCAGGAACATCAATTTCAAGAGCTTGGTTTTATGGCATGCCCTTAAGCCAAGAAGGAACACCAGGTTGCAATCAAGGAGAGGAGGGTAAGGCTTCTTATAGGAAAACTCTCACTACAATATCCTGTCCCCAGGATTCTCTTTCTTCACTTCAAAAGCATGAGGAGAATGAGGCTTGCTACTGTCTTGGAAGATGAATAGCTATAGCTGCTTGGACATTAGTAGCTATATTATCCTTGTATGAAGAGGAGACCAAGAAACAAACTTCCATGCTGTTTATCTGATGGTGCATTAAGTAATGAAAACTGAAATTTGGTGGGTTTTCAGCATACAGAATTTGAAACTTGCATCAAATCCAAAGTTTCTTATTTGGCTCTGTTTTGTAAGTCCAGCATGCCTGTACATCTGAAATAACCAATTTGTAATAATTCAATCATCCAGAAAGGCACAGCTTTTCTAACTTTTCCAAACCACACTCCACACCTCTGGGCATTAGTGAAACACATTCTAACTGTGGTGAGCCTGATGAAGTATAGCTAAAAATAACAGTCATCAGCTGTGGTTTTAAAGGCCTTGCTTCAACACAGTCAAATGTGTCAAGTGTTCATTCTCTAGATTCTTGTGCTGTAGGTTATGAATAACTTTCCCTTCCTGGGAATAATTGAATGTAACCCACTTGGGGTCCTGCTGTCTGTGAATTACTTACACAAGAACACTGTTAGGGAGTAGAAATGCCTATCCCCCCGCCACTATGCCTCATGGGATATTGGAATGAGAAGCAATGGAACATGGCTTTTAAAAGCAATTGTTTTTCACATTGCTTGCTACAAAGGTTCATTATCACACACTCCCTATCCATACCATCACTTATCCAATCAGAAGGCTGAAGATGCCACAGGTGATAACTTCTAGTAGAAGTTTGGTATCTGAAATCTGGAAAAGAGCCCACGTCAGCAATCTATACTTGCTCAACTCCTGTGGTCCTTGACACGGAGAAGCAACTGTGTAAGGTCTGTGGTGGTAGTTTACCCATGCTAACCTTGGAAAGCCGCTCTCTCATCACTGAATACATACTAATAGCAACTACATGGATACATAGATGCCTACAATATTTTTTCTTCCTGCATCTCCATAGAGTTAGTGAGTACACGGCACTGTTCCAGAAAAGAGCTAGGGTGACGACCAATCATACTGGCACTCAAGAGATAACACGGGGCTCTTCCTCCTAGACTCTCAAATCATTTTGTTAATTTACACCTAATTTTACTTCTCTCTAGAGTAACACAATCCAACATAAATGCAATAAGAATCATAAGTATAATTTGTAGCTTTCTATTAACCACTTTTAGAAAAATTAAAAATAATTATAATAATTCAATAGTATAGTTTACTTGACCCAAGATAGCAAAAACATATTTGAGAACAAAGCCAACAAATAGTTTTTACTAAGACTTCTGGTACACACAAACAATGTCTTCTTCTATGGGAAAATGGACACCTGCTCAAGAATCTTTACTTACTAACTCTGTCTACAGTTCTTATGATAGCTAAGTATGGGTCTTTTGAGTTAGGTAGACTAAATAAACATTATAAAAAAGAAAGAGTTTTGAGGGGTAGATAATGGGTAACAGGAAGAATGGCTGGGTTAGGTTAATTATTAATTAAAGCTGGTTTATTGCTCAACACTCGAAGAATTTCCCCTATGCTTACAGGTATCTTTCGTTTCTAACCCAAAGCACGCACACTGAGCACTTTCTCTGTAATTGACTCACGCAGGAAAACACGGTGCAGTGTGTGTGCCTGGAAGGTAGGGACCACACAATCCACAGAGATAGCTGTATAATTGAAGCAGGAGCACAAGTGCTTCAAGCCTGCACCAAGGCAAGAGCCATAGCATCCTTCAGGTCTCAGTCTCTACTCATCACCATGTGCGCGCTCCATTATGAAAGAAAGGAAATGTACACTTTTGGTGATATACCATTTATGATCTAATAAGGTCACTGAAGGGCACCACATATACTTTCCTTTCAACTGCTGAAGAGTAGACACTCGAGCCATGTAACCTGCACAAAGACAAGGTGCGAGCATTCTGAGTGCCAGTATTTTTTCCTGAAGTTAGAATACACATCTTTGCTAGTAATACTGCAACATTCAGCCACACACTCCACCTCAAAATTCCTTGAGGTTATATTTGAATAAAGCTATTAGAATGATGGGAGCCCTAATTTTCTCTAAGAGAAAGCAATATTTATGTTATTTCAATTGTTCTAAGTACTGAATCTATATGATAAGAACAAATATATGTGAATGGATTTTCTGCATGCAAACAGTGATAACACATTAATCAGGCAGACTTATTTTAGGGTATATAGACATCATAAAATATGCATTAAATTGTACTTATTTTTGCTTATGTAAATTCTCTCATATTTATATCATTCCCTTTCCCCAATTCAATATATTTAGACTTAACCTGGTCTTAATCACTACATATTTAAAATGAAATGAAGACAAACAAAATTCTCCACAAAACACCAAAGACTGGCTTTCTCTGTAGTCATCAATAAAGTCGATCAAATATGCCCAGTTTTTATTAATGTGCTGTCAAATTCATTTCCCTAAGGAGCAGAGTTTTTTGAGACTTTATTTTTATTTTTAATTACATGATTATGTGTGTCCATACCCGTGAATGAAGTGACTGCAGAGGCCCAAAGAGGGCACTGAATTCCCAGGTGCTGGGGTTTCCAATAGAGTCCTCTGCAAGGAAGGTAGGGGCTCTCCGACATGACTACCTAAACATGAGCTGAACAAGAAATACACCAAGAGACATGCCCAAGTAGATGAGGGGAGACCATGAGGTGTCATCCCTACATGAAGAATCACGGGCAACTGAGGAATGTTGAAAGCAGGAGAAACAGTCTTCCCCAGAAAAGGGCACATCAATTGGCTATCCAATACCAAACAGCAGGCTTTGAAAACATACACACTCATACAAGTAGCATTATGCAGACTGAGCAGGATATGTGTGTGTGTATAACAATAAATAAAAAAATTAGACCATAAATGTGAAGGAGAACAAGGAGAAGTGTATGGGAGGCTTGGAGGGAGGAAAGGGAAGGGAGAAATGATGTAATTATATTATAATATAAAAGATTTTAAAATAATAAAAAATACATAATTAAGAGAGAAGATGCTCTTAAGCACAGAGCCATCTCCAGCATCTAGAGGACAGAGTTTTAAACAGGATAATGAGATAATATTGCGTCTAAAATGCCTTAAAGATACTACTTTAAGGAAAAATATGCAAACAATGGGAATATCCTCATTGACTGGTGAATATTCACTAATGCAGCATAGCAGCCCTTACTTTATAAACATTGCCACTAGTTCCTGAAAACAAAACTATACCACACTGTGAGAATAGTCTTAGCCCATCCAACACCTTGGTATACATCTTTGAGAAAGTGCTCTAAAGCCAGACTTGTAATGAGACATGGATGGGCATTTAGGAGAGGTTAAAATATGGTTCCATCATTGGAGATTGCTCTTTGTAATGACATGTAAGGTCATTAACCAAAGTTTAACTTGCAGGCTATTTGGATGACGATCCACCATTACAGTTCTTCAAAGCCAACAGAGAACTGAAAGGCCACAACCCCACAGTCTATGTGGATGGAAAACACCTTTTCTGGAAGTAGTTTTTTTTTTTTATTTAACGTATCAATCATAAATATAGCAGTTACAAATATGATGTCTCAGAAGCATATTTTTCTTATATAGTCTATTTTCCTTCTATTTCAATGCTGAATTCTAGAATAGCAATGATGGCTTCATACATTCATGGCATTGGGGTGTCACCATTCACTCTTGTTCTACCTTATAAAGCATACACCAATCTATCCTTTGAAATTCTGAAGCAGGATGAAACAGGCATGCAGTAAGGTCATATACTGGCTGGAAACAGGACCATTGAAGCCAGAATATTTGGTGTAGGCTCCTAGGTCTCTCACGCCCTAGCTACATGTCCTTGAACAAACAACTATGTGTCCTGAGTCTCCCCATCGACCTCACATTTCATCAGGAAAATGGAGATTAAAACTCATCCTTACTTACATGTAGAAATTTAAGTGAGGGTTTGAGCAGGGTTTGACACACAATTAGTGCTATGTAAGTAATAGTAATAGCTATGGATATAACTATATGTTACCACTAGACCATCTTTATAACCACTACTTTACATTTTATTAAAAGGCCTGAATCTAATTCTCAGCTCTTTGGAGTTGATGAGCAAGGCCCTTTGATCCTTCACAGAAACTCAAATGGTAAGACACCTACCGGAACAACAGGTTTCAAACTCTGGCCACTTGGGCTTGCAGTGCTTGGCTGGGCATCAGCATGTGGCCCTGGTGCTGGATCACTGCTTCTCCTTACCAGCAGTGGAGTGCCTGCAGGACACAATAAGAGGTGAGAGGTCAAATGAACCCCAGGGAGAAGAGAATATATGGCACAATGTATTTTAATTAAAAGGGTTTATAACAGGCTTTCATGTTTCACCATTCTGCTTCTAAGGATGCTTGTAAATGAATCCACACAGTGCTCTTCAGACATTTCTAGGTAAGGCAGTATGCACTCATTCAGTCTTTCAACCCTCTTCTTTCCTTACCTGCATTTAAAAACCAGCCAGTGCATTTAACAGATGTGTTAGGCGACACAAGAATGGACAGTCTAAGAGCTGTCCTCAGCAGCACATGGGGTGTTAAAGAATAATTATGCATAAGACTAATGAAGAAGTTCAAACAGTCAATGTAATCTGCTGTTCAGCAGACCTAGAAGCATAGTTTTTACTGCCATTTGATGCTTCCCAAACCTTTTGAACAATGGTACACACCGAATGAAATTATGCTCTGAGCTTACGGTATTAATGTCTATTTAAGTATACAAGGGGATTGATTCCATTCTGTTCTTTTTCCCCTAAAGCAGACAAAACTGATAAAGAAAATAAGTTACTTCTTCTAAAAATATATTCTGATTTCTTTTCAATTTAATAAAAGCTCCCACTATTAAATATTTGAGTCAGTTATTAAATTCTAAAAGGAAGATTAGAAAGTTCAAATGTAATTCAGCCTCACTAAGGTTAGCAACCTGACCACGCTCACTGCAATTAGGACTAAAATAATTTGCTTGGTACAAAATTGGATGCTGTAAAGAAAAAAAATCTGCTTTTGGTTTAAAAGTTATTCTCACAGAAAAATTAACATTTACTTGCATACTTTTGGGAAAAGAGTGAAAAAGAGTAGAATGCAATTTCTCCTTTATCAACATTCTGAAAATAATTTCTCAAACTTCAATAGCTACTCAACTTAAAAGAACATTTCATCTCCACTTGAAGCTATTTACCAAACAGATTTCATAGGTGCTATGACATTCTTTTCTTTCTGTAGAAAACAAAAAATTACTAACATATTTTACCCATTTTTACAAAGAAGCTGCTTTCTTGAAAATAAAATTTTTCATAGTATGTTAATATGCAGTTCAAGTGAGAGACACTTTGACAAAATATATTTTAAAAATCTCGCAAACTTTCATTCTGTTTTATTAATAGATATGTTGCTACATTATTCTTTACTTCCTCCATCTCAACCAGGTTACAGATGACTATTTGACTCTTTAGTTGGTGGTTTCTTCAATGAAACTTGGAAAGTAAACTAGACTACAAGGAAAAAGTTCCTTAAAATTCATCTCATATCACCTTTTTCACTTCTTCAGATGACCTATAGGCTAAATTTCTTTCAGGATAAACTCCTAAGTTCCCAGTAGTATGAAGAGAAGAGTTGGTTAGATGCAATATTCTCAGAGGTAGCGCATGACACGGAAAGTCCCAAAGAACTTGGGTGAAAAGGAAGGGAGACAGACACCTTGAAACTCTCAATCATTTCCAAGTATTTAATGAGGTTAGTATACTACAATTTAACAATCTCAAATCAGAAAAACTAAACAGGAAACAAAGAATGCCATTTTGGCTTACCATGCTGTTTTCTCACTGCCAAAAACAAGGCAACGGTGTAGTAGAGAAAAGAAATTAGTGACCAACAATTTCAGAAAATTTTAGTTTTTAGTTATTATGACTTTTTAGCTGAGTCATACATACATATACAAACACACATACTCATATACAGACATACAAATACATATACATACACACATATACAGGCAGACAGATACACACATACTCACACATATACACACATGCACATATACATATACCTATGCACACACAAATACATGTATAAATGCATTTGCATATGTGTATAAATATACATATACACAGTTATACACACATATACACATTTAAAATATAACAGAGATAAACACATATACTCACACATATAGATTCATATACACACATACATACATACACCAATATACACATATAAACACATAGATGTACATAGCTATAAATACACAGTAGCACATATATACATGCATGCATACATACACACATAATACATATAAACATACATATGTCACATTGTATGACACATGCTTTTTCTTAGATTATAAACATCTTTTTTTCAAGCTATAGAAGATAGTTTTTCTTCAGCTTTAATGATGGGAGCCTATGATAAATGTTAAACTATTTAAGATGCTTTTGCAGTAACAGGTACTCAGCATTATGCATTCTGCCATAACTTGCAATACATTTCTCCAGAGATGACAATTCAGTATATTCCTCTATATCAACTATTTAGAACATAAAAAATCATCCATTGTTATAGATACCATTCACATTTCTATGTATCCGTTAAAAAGTTTAATTAATAAATACACACCAAAACCAACAAGCAACCAATCAAGCTTTAAGATGGATGATCTTTTCTAAACATGGACTCAGCTCATTAGGAAAAAGTTTCCCTCTGTGTTTTTTTCCCTTCCACATTTGAATGTCTCCTGTTGAGTCACCTTCTAATTTTTCCTTGGCTGTCTTAATGTGTTAATAACAAGTGCAAATCATTTCATACTGGAATTAATAATGAGCATCTCAAAATATGAACTGTTATCTCAGCTTTAAACAAACCCTCTTCATAGTATTTCCAAATTGCCAACCCCTATTAGCAGGTTGCTGTCAAGGAGAGTCAGAGATGTCACTCAAAGCCAGAGAGAACATCCTTGTGTTCAACAAAGGCAAGCAAGGAAAAGGGTTAATGATTAGGCAAATCCTTGAACACAGTAGAGCTGAAGCCACATTTCTCCATCGAGCTCACTAAATAAGAGGGAGGTAACTGTCTAGTTCTTTTTCCTTGTAGGGAGGGGAGGACGAACATTCATCCACACTGAAGGAGTTGGCATCCTGATCGGTAGATGTTAATACTGATAACTACCATGGATCACAGCAGACAAGACAATGGACTGTGGAGTCAACATGACTGAACTGTGCCTGTGCTGGTTCCATGACACTGAAAGTGGACTGCTCTGTGACAGTCTCTCCATTGAAAACCTGGTGTTAAAAACATGAAAGAGCTGATGGGAAGGTGGAGATACTAAGTCATGTACAATATATGATATTGATCATTGTGTATTCAAACAGGAAGAGCATCAACCTCTTCCCAAATTGCCCTGAAATAAGAGCTGTCCCTTGGCATTTGCTGTGAATAATGTTAGCTTATCCAATAGATCAACTTCAGAAAATCAAAGCGAATTTTAGGGAATATTATGTGAATGAAAACTAGCAAAAATATAATTCTATGGCAACACACACACGTAAGTTCAATTCCATTGGAGTAGCACCAATGGGTACTTATCACTTAAGCCTCATTCTAATGCAAACTTATATATTCACATAGGGTTTTTGTCTTAAGGCTGTTTAGTCACTTAGCACTGGCTGTATTTGGATGGAGCTTGCTTACATGACAAGTGACATCAAATATTGAATTAGGAGGACATGCCATGCTTGTGGAAGAAAAAAAGTGGATTTATTTTTCACATATCTATGAACGATGATATATTTTCTGGTTATTAAACAATTACCAGTTTAATGGTGCTGAAAGTAGTACACAAAGGGGGTGCAGCTAAACATCCAACAACCCCATTAAATATCCCTAAAGCATTTTGGAAAAAAATTTAGAAGAGGCAACAAATAAAAGCTCAAATTGTTATACTAGCGAGTCATTCACAAAATAAAGGCCAACATAAATGGAAGGTAGGAGGCATTTTCTGTATAATACAAGTTTCTGACTTTGATACATTCATGAGCATTCATACACACACACACACACACACACACACACACACACACACTCACACACACACCCTACAGGGTGGTGGGGGAGGGAGAGAGGTGAGAGAGATTTCTACATCTGAAGGTTGTGTTTGGATGGAGTTGCCTAAGTGACAAGTGATGTCATTTACTATTGAACTTGGAGGGCCTTGAAGGACAGGCCATTACAGAAAAAGAAACCAAGAATCTGAGGAATCATAAAAGAGGAGGCTGTTGCCAGCAAAGGAAACAAACAATAGTTTTAACATGAACCACACATCGAGTCACAAGGACACATGTTCTAAATTGTATAGAGAGAAGCAGCAGCAATTTATTTATTTAAAGATGGTTAATGATCCTCCTGAGCAAAGTCAGAGGCCAGCTTGTCAGTATTAGTGTTGCTTCATCCCAAGGCAGCTATAGTGAGCGTGAAGACATGTCATTCTGTAAGAACAAGAAGGGCTCCAGCGTAGGAAGCAGGGAGGGCAACTCTGAGATGCAGAGTAGAGTGTCTTCAGCCAGTAGCAGAAATGGAGAGAAGCTGGAGGAGAAAACGGGAGACTCTGGCAAGTGATTACAACTGTATTCTAATAAGGGAGAGCACACTGATCCTCATGTGTCTTTCCCGAAGAAGAACAATGGACATTTACTCCTAATGATTTGCTTTTAATCTGAAATGATCCTGTTGGCCTCAGAAAGCAAAGACTAGAATTTTCAATAAAGCAAATCCACAAAGATGCAAATGAAGCCATTACTGGAAATCCTGTTGGGGCCCAGACTGAAAGTCTAGGGACAAAAGTGTTATGAGCAAAGGCAATGGGAAGGGAAGTACCTTTCCAAATAATGCTAAGAAACAAAGAGCCAAGACTCCATAATCTAGAGTCCTCAAATGAATGGCAAATAAAACCATGAGTTGTTAATGAAACTTCAGAAGAGCGTTTGGAGGAGAATGTATGGTAGGAGAAAGGAGAAAGGAGGGAGGTTGCCATGACAGCCCATGAGAGTTCAGAAAGTGCTGCCCTATCAGAGTCTTCCCTTCTCTCTGTTGTGAAAAATTAGCTCCTGCAGTGCCATAGAAATCATGGAAATAAACACTTGGACAGTTTACAGAAAAAAATATCCTTCTAATATTGCTGACACAAAATGACAAGATAAATAGGAAGATAAATCCTAAATAGAAGCCTTTAAATT